AAATACAAAATGTTTCATCCCATCCCCTTTTCGATATCTTGTATGTACTTTTAAATTTGAGGGAAGGGGTGTTACATTTTTGTCAGTAATGGCGGTTCGATGAGCGACGAGTGAACGTACCAATGTCTTAAAGATGCCTAAAATCTTTAATTATATACGGAATTTAATTTTTTTCCTAATGTGTATTAGCTTTAGGTTATTATCTTTGATAAAAAAACAAAATTTAATTTCAAAGAATATAATTAAATTATTTAAAATTATGTACCTCCAAAAAAAGCGATACGTAAGGTATAAAATCCATTTTAAAAATTAAAGATCTTTCTTGAAGCTTTTATTTTAGTTTTAATTGGAATCTACTACATTAAATTTAATATTTTCCATAAGCAAAATATTTTGCTGTGTTTCAAACAGGATTCAATTCATTGGAATTATTTTTTTAATTGCTAAAATCCTCATAAGTTCATAATTCCACATAACATAATTCTTTATTAAAAAATATTTCAAAAATAAGATATACTTTTCTGAAACTTTATTTAAGGATGATTAACTGATTTAAAGTTTAATTAATCTGAATGAAATCAAATATTTACTTTTTAATTTAAAATGTTGCAGAAAATATTCTTAACTTGAAGATAAGTATTTTTATGGGGAGTTGACACTTATCGATAACCTGATATTTGCGAGATTGATGTAAAGTGAAATACAACGTAAACGCCTTCTTTAGATATTTTTTTTAACTACCCAGTAATCTTAAAAAATTAAAATATTTTAAACATTTTAATATTTTCGAGAATTTTAGGTACTTTGGCTTTATAGTCTTCCTTACGAAAACGTTTGTTGAAGAAATGTTAGAAAATTACCAATAAACTTTAAATTTTCTATAGTTACCGCTCTTACTTTCTGGTAATGTCGTGTATGGACGTCTGTATTTACAAAAATCGACACGTTTACGGTTTATACACAGAAAAAATTCAAATTTAAAATGAAATACTGGGGAGTCGCTGTGTAGTGTAGAAATCTTTATTCTTTATCATTTATGATTAGTGAAAAGTTTATAAATTCTTCTAATAATTTTTTTTAATGAAAACAATTCCTGTAAAAATTCATTATTCATCGAAAAAAATGTTTTTCTTAAGATAGAGTTAATATATTTTAAGCATTTCTAATTAAATAATGTCTAATAATATTTTATTGCATTTTTTATTTTTCGGGGCAGATTTTCTCTAACTGGGTGTTCTGTTTGATAAAGGAATTGATAAATTCTCGGATGACTTGTCCCTATACCTAAGCAGTAAGCGCTACAAAAAAAGAACTTTTCGAAATTTCATAAACTTAAATAAGTATGGTGTAAAAGATGTACAAAAATATACTTTTACAAAGACTTTCTAAAGAAACATTTAAAAAATAATTTAATTAATTTGTTAATAAACCCAGACGTCTAATTGTTAAATAATGCCGGGTAGCACCACCAGCATTACTTAACAAATAGATGTCTCTCTGTACCTCAAGGGTAGAAAAACAATGATTGGATGAAGCAGTCCCATAGCTGTTGTACGATTTTACGTTTCACTTCTAATTAAATTGTTAATAAATTTTCAACGGCGTCATTATTTTCCGATTGCCACGTTCATCCATTTTTCAGCTGGATTGCTTGGTGTTGAATAAACAGTCGCGATCGAACTTATCACGAGTAAACACAACAATCTGAATCCATCCCCGATAAGATATTCGAAAGCCAAACAGTTGTGTTATATTTGGGGACCAGCATACGTACGGGTTATAACTACTGATTGGCGGGGGTAGGAGAAATTTGTATTCTTCAAACAAAGAATAACACATCTTCGAGCAAATCTGAATACAATTTAATAAAAATTGTAACAATTAAGAGAACGTATCATAGGTATTTGCTGTCAGTGTTTATTGTGAGTCCCCCGTGTGGCTTTGGGTTTGTTCTTATACAGGCTGGAGGTATGCTCCAAACAAAAGCCAAACTTTAAATATTTTTTTGTATTGTTCCTATTGATTGAGAAAATTCACTTGATGTGCCAACGACGACGTACGCGTGAAGGCGACACCAAGTTGCTTTTACGTGTTTATTTTAAACCAGATGAAATTGTAGTTTTATAGAGAATTTGAAAATGTATTTTTATTACTTCATTTTTGTGTATTTTCGAAGTCCCAACTATATATATATATATATATACTCGACTCTCTTGTCGAATTCGACGTATGAGGGTCAAGCAGATCGGTTCCTAGGAAACCGACAGCCCGACAACAGTACGTGAGATTTGATTATAGTGGTGAAGGTTTCGTGTCTGACCATCCACACTTTTTGAAGGGCCGTCCCCAAATGACCCTCCGCAGGTTTTGAATTCAGAGTTCAGGCTATAGAATCCAGACTGTCCTGCTATTTACCCATAGCTGGAGGGAGAAGAAGAGGATTGAGGATTCACACCTTTTCCAACGGTATTAGCACATAAGTGAATGTAATGGATTCGACTGGAATTCGAACTCAGCTCTCCGATCCCTCAATCATTGAGCTCTCTGGATATCATCCTCCTTGGGACTACCCATACGGATTACCTATATATATATATATATATATATAATCACCCACAATATTTGTTTTATTGCTCGAATAATCATTATCTATGAGCCAGTTTTTCCTTTCTTTTTCTTTTTTTAATTACCTCTATTCTAACACATTGTTGTCGTTAATAGGTGAAGTGTGCCGACAACCTGGTTTTAATTGCAAAAAAATCTACCCGAACTGCAACTCAAGAATTCTAGTGTCAGTTTGCTTTGCCGACAACAAATATTATTGCGTGGAAAAAGAAGCTACCCGAGAAAACTGTCAGTATCATTTAATTTCTTCCAGTCCAAGAAACCGAATCTTTTAGGGATTCGGTTACAGAGTCAATGGATAAGCGTCAGATTCGGATTTATTTTATATTTGTAATTATTTTACTTTCTTTTGAAATCACTTCAGGTTGCGTTTCAGAGTTCATTCTTGGTCGCCAACAACAACAATCGGACTGGGAATTTTAAATTGTGTTATCAGTATTTTCATAAATCCAGCAAATATATCTATAGGGTTGAGCTAAAGTCTCATAAAATATGTTTAAATACCGTCCTCCGTTATTAAAAGAAAATTTAATTTTTCTCTATTTTTATTCGAGACCCCAGTATACTCCGCTCAAATCTCCCTTCTTTTCCCTCTTCCCCTCTCTCTTTCTCATATAATGTCTCCAATGATTCCGGAAATTTTTGTATTGCTGATCGTTTCTGTCAATAATACATTCAAAAGAAGAAAAAAAGTGTTCTGTTGAGAGTACACTTAATGGTAAATTGTCCACTTTTCGAGCTCGACCATGAACTCAATTATAAGCAACACGTCAAGTTTTGAAAAAAAATCTGAAATTATTTAAACCCGATTATATACTCAAGTACTATGGGTTTTATAGTATAGACACTAGTATTAGTTGTGAATTCAAACTTACCCTTCCTCAAAAAAACAAAAAGCAAAAAACAATTTAAAACAACATTTTGCTCAGTGATTTCATGTGTGTCAAATGTCCTTTTCAGGTCTTTTGTGCCAACAAAATGGCGTCTCCTGCAAGAATCTTTATCCCAACTGTAATTCTAAGGCTTTACTTTCTGTGTGTTCTATGGACAACACATATTATTGTGTGGAGAAAGTGTCTGAAGAAGGAATCTGTAAGTTTTTTCTTGGCTACTTATTTTATCGGAAAGAACTATATTTTCCGTTATACGCATTTACTTTTAATATACACGCAAAATACTTAAGAAAAAAAATTAATTAGTCACGTCCTCCTCCAATAAAGTTAAGGAGAATTTAAGCAAGAATAATTGCAGCGATAGTGTTGTTATTTCATTCTGTATTTTCTTTGTACTGGCTTAGCAAGAAAAAAAAAGTTCGTTCTGTTTTTGCCGTTAGATGGCAGTAGGAGTGTTTAGTTTTTGATCGTTTTTTTATTGTATTGCAGCAATGCGACGGCCGTCATATTCGCGGCCATTTTTTAAATTGTCAAAATTAGTGCGTTTTGTTTATTGGCTATAAAATTGAAAATTTTTAAAAATGCAACATTTTTCAGCATATTTTATATAAAAATACACACAAATTATGCAGCTTATGGAGCAGATTCTGTGAATGATCGAATGTGTCAAAAGTAGTTAGCGAAGTTTCGTGCCGGAGATTTCTTGAGTTCTTTAAATTCCATGATCGTGTAGACTAGTTGAAGTTATTTACTAATTTTAAAAGTCACAAATATAGGGTGCCCAATGAGGCTCGAACACGCTAATCAATTGTAATGATGCCCATGTGGAAAATCATTTGCATGCCAGTCTGTTTATGTTGATCGCTTTGGCAATAATAATAATAACAACCAATATCCGTAACAAATTGTAACCAGAAATTCATGTGCAAGAGATCGTCGGACAAGTGAAATGAACCACCACTAAACGCCGGTATTCATCCAAAGATGATGCTGGGTATATGTAGGACAAGAAAGGAGTCTTCTATTATTGGCTCCTTCAAAAGACTCATTTGATTGATTCGAACAAGTATTGCCCCCAATTAGACTGAGTGAAGGCATTAATCGAGGAAAAACATCCAGAATTATTTAACACAAATAGCATAATCGTTCATCATGATAATGCTAAACAGCGTGTTTCTTTGGAGACTAGGTCAAATTTTTTACAGCCTGACTGACAAATTTTCACTCACCTAGCACATTCAGAAGATATTGGATTATTAGTATTTAAGGCGGTCATTACAGACTTTTGTAGCGGACCTTAAAAATCGATTGATCGGAAAATACGTTTTTTTCCTCCACTCATTTTCCTCGGCGCGAGCATTTATCTCAAGTAGGTGCGAATTTTAGCTTACCCTACATACATCATTGACAGCAGTCGTAAACATATAAATAGCGCATAAATTTTCAGTTCAAGAGGGAGAAATTCACCAGCTACTGAACTTCATGTCGGCAGATGACAGGAAAGAAGTCACTCATCCCTTTTTCCCAATCCGTCAACGACCGCGGCCAAAGAACGAACTCATTGATTCACGACATAGCCATGGTAAACAGGTCAAGAACTGCTAACACCCCACATTAGCGACACCAATTCAGTTTCTTTCTATCTCGCATATGTAATTAAGGAAAAGACCTTTCGAATTCTTCACCATGTTCACAACTATGAAAACCACTTTTACCTATATACTCGAACACTAATACCGTACATAACCGAATCACACACAGTCAATACATGTTGTCATTTTTTGCATAAATGTTATTTGGGATTTGTTTAATTGTAAATGTGTAATTATAAATTGTTGCTTGTAAATGATAAATTTTGTATGTTTGAGGCTTCGGTGCTGATCAGGCGTTGCAAGTCCTCAACACTTTCCTTATTGAAAAAAAAAAGTTTATAAATAAAAGGGTTACATTCCCTGGGAGATTTCAAAATACATCTAGATTACTTCTTTAGAAATATAAAAAGTTCTGGGAGGATAGAACTATGAAGTTGCCTGAAAGATGGCAGAAGACAGTGAAACAAAACAGTAAATATGTTGTTCAATAAAGTTAGTGTCAAAAAATGATTATTTATTTTTACTTAAACCAAGCGATCTTTTTTATGAGTGTGTGTATGGGAAGGGGATGATTTTAAAGCAATTTTTGAAAAAATGTACATTATATATAACAGGAAAATACGAAATTAACTGATAATATATAACTGATATATAACTGAAAATACGACAATAACGGATAACAATACTTGGATATTTATGCCTTAAGTCTATGTTATATATTTATTTTAAAGAAAAGCGATACCTAAGATTTAAAATGAATTGACGATTAAAATTCTCCTAGGGCTTCTGCTTATAAATAGTATAAACATTAATAAGGTAATTATAGAACTGATGAGTGAAGTAAATGTTAAAAGAACATTTTTCCTTTCAGGTCCATTGTGTCAGGAAAATGGCTTCTCTTGTAAGAAAACCTATCCGAATTGCGATTTTAAATCCCTACTTTCTTTGTGCTTTATAAATGATACATATTATTGCATGGAAAAAGACCCAGGCGATAATGACTGTAAGTATGTTTTCCTTGATGTCTAAAAAGCAATGGATTTTTTTTTTTACAGGAAGGTTCACCCCGTACCAGCCTCATTCGTGGTAGGGGTTTACGTTAAGGGGTAGTTTATATGGATAGGAGGGGAAATTAACGGTTAAGTCTAGACTTGAACAGGTTAAGATTGTAGTGATCAAGGGCAGTAGTTCGCGGGAAGAAGCTGTTTGGGTGGAATTTACTTCTCGCCAATGGAATTTCAATAGTAATATTCAAGAGAAAAACGTACAAGCTAGTTTTAAGTAAAATGTTTATTCTTTTTCTTTTTTTGTTTATTAACTCCGGTTATTTTAAATGACAATAGGAAATAGTAAACATAAGAATATTTGCAATGAAAATTCTTAATAGGAAAACTTGAGGGTTCCCTACACGTAAGCCGCTAGTGGCCCCCGATGGCACCGCCAGCGGTCCCCTGGTGGCAGCCACTAGTGGGCCTCTAGCGGTCCTTCAGTGTTAACATTGCCGAGAGGAACACGTCGGTGGTCCGACAGCGGGCCATCAGCGATAAACGCTAGTGGAAGATTGGTGGCTTGCGTGTAAGGTTATCCCGTTTGACTTAACCAAAAAACCGTCTCTTGGAGGCGCTCATTTAAAAATACGTGCATTTTTCTCTTCAGTCTTTTCCCTCTTTTACAGCTTCTGGCTATTTTTACCATGATTTTCTAAAAAAACAAACATTTCTAAAATAAATTAATTCATTTTTGAATAAGTTCTGAAAGTTTCATTACATTCCGACAATTATTTGATTTTTGCAAGGATTTCCACATTAATGTATTTTCAACTGAAAAAGGCGCTCTAAAAAACCTAATGTTAAATATTAGGTGACCTCTGACTTAAAAAAAAAAACAAGATTTTCAACCAAAATTTCAAACGTGCTAAAAAGAAATTAAATTTTTTTAAAAATAATTAAAAAATACTTTGGGCTCTCCTCTTATTAATGACATAAACTTTTTCGCGATAAAATTTTATTTTTATTAAGTTTGGGACCTTTTTCATCAGGGTATGCCATATTTTAGCGAAAAGTGGACATACTTAAAAGATGTAGTTGCACGCCCGGGAAAAGTGTCCTCCACCGGAAAACGTTCATTTTCATGGTTTTCTGTCTTGGCTGTTTGTACTCTCTCTCTCTCTCTCTCGCTCACACACACACAGAGGCACGCACGCGCGCGCACACATTCTTATTATAGCTAGTTTCATGCTGTTATTTTCTCCTTTACGTCACATGTTAATACATGCATTGTCGTTTGTGTTATTGTTTTGTGTTAGTCATTTTTACTTGGACAAACATCCAATCCGCCAATATTTTTTTTCAGTGACCGCCTCATTTCCAGGTTTGCTGACACTCCTTGCCCCCCCTCCCCCTGGTCTCCCCTGATTTGCCCATGTGTGATTATTTCTTGTGGGGAAACCTCAAGGCGCGTGTGTATGAGAATAAGCCCCGTATGCGATTTGAAGGAAGTTATTCGCGTGGAAGTCGCTCCAAATCGACAGAACAACGCCGGAAAGAGTGGAGGGCAACTTCCAAGAACATCAATGAAAACTGACACCATATGAGGGATGTTGTTTTCCACACTTGGTTTTGTCAAATGCTAATTCAATATGAACACATTGATGGCAATAAAAAAAATTTTGAAGCTAAAATTAATGATGTAGTGAATTTTTCAAAAACGCCCGTCGTTTCTGCCTACCCTGTACTTATCTATCATGTACTTACGTATTATGTACTTACATATCGTGACATGTTTCCAATAAATCAACGGAATTAATGGTGGTTTTCTAAGCGTAGCTTATATGTGGCACAAAACCGGAAGTATGGAGCACCTAGTTTAGTTGTAATTGATCTAGCGAGACAAGCTTGTTAACCATTACACCACGTCGAAGTGCCCAAATCAACAGCACAATTTTTGGACCAGAATGGCTGCCTAGTGGAATTGGAGACAAGAAGAAATCCCTAAAAACAGTCATTAAAAATTTTCGTAATGGTAGCGGGACAAACCTGCCACCGGATTGTTTTGGGAGCTTTTAAGTCAAAAGGATCGCAAATATGAATTTGCACACTTAAAATTAATTCACACCACTTTCACTCTTTCTTTTACTGTCGATCAAAGTCTTTTGGTCTTACAATTCCAATTTAACTATATAGCTGAATGGAATTCAGGTTGTCAGTATTAAATTTATAAAACCAAATAAACTTTAGTTAGTAATATTCAACAGTACAATTAATTTTCACAATTAAAGAAGATTTCATATGTTAAGTATGTGTGTATTTATTTATATTTGGGAGAATAAAATATTTGTATTTGGAAGACTTTGTTTGTGTACTATCCCCGAACCGCCGACCTATATTTTGTGACTCTTGCTATCTTATTAACATTTGCTTTTTTTCTGCCTACATTTATATACGTTACAAATTAAACTAAACATAACTATTAGTATTGAATTTTCACAAGTTTTGACGTCATTCTGGGGGTCTTCTTTTTCTTCGTCCAAATCCATGAATTTGTTTTGTTCATGGTAAGTCTCGAAAAACTATGATATAAAATTTACTATTCAACTTCTTAACAAGAAAATCTGAAGCTGATTGTAAAAATTGACGCAAAACATTGTTGATTTATTTAATATGGAATGATCTCTTATGACATGTCTCTAATTTGTATTTAGAATTAGATACATTGTATTTATTTTCAATTTTTGTAGCTGAATTGTTCACCGATATTGCATATGATCCATTATTGTACATAATTAGGTTACAATAAAATTTGTATTTTATATGAATACTAACATATGGAAATAGAGATGTAATAGAGTGGGGGTCATATTATAGATTAGGGGACACAAGACCATGGCAGCGGCCCTGAATCGTGCCATAAATTTTGTAATAAAAAAGAAATACTTTTATTTATTTAAAGAGAATTCGCCCGAGAGGTTGATGTTTTTTTTATAGTTTACATAAATGATTATTCTACAGTTCGAACCTTGTTTTTTCTTTATTATCATAGCTGATGGAATCGAGAGAGGCGTTCAGTGAAGTTAAGGCTGATTGGTTATAAAATCACGTTTGTTTCGGAAGATTTTGATTGGCCAGAAATTGTTGACGTTTTGAATGTGACTAACACAAACGCTCCAACATTTCTATTATGTATTCTATTTTTTAACAATAATAATAATGACAACAATAACAATAATGTAGTTATAACTTCAAAAAAATTCTGAACAAGACTTGAGTAACACTTGTAATGTTTTTTTTTTATCCTTTAGGTCAACGCTGCACAGAACCCGGTTATCACTGCGCTAATCACTACCCAAACTGCAATTCTGAATATACTGTAGAAGTCTGTGTTTCTAATAAACAATTTTTGTGTGTCGAACGGTTATCGCACACACTGCCGTCATCAACGCACCACATAACAACCCCAGTTCCAACCGTGACTACACCCAAAGTCAATACTAGTTTGGAAGGTAGAACTTCAGTTTCGAAGCATTCTCATTAACTCATTGTACCCGAGGATTGTTTTAAGTTTCAAATTGCATACTTTTGGTCAGAAAATTTAAAACCTGTTCTACATACATGCATTTCGTGAATCCTTTCAGAAATAAGTTCAGTGTTATATACTGCGTGTATGGTTGCAAGAATAACAAATGAAAACAACAAAGTAGTACCAGTGAAACGTAAGGAAAAGGAGACATGTTATAATAAAATTATCAGTATTGTCAATGTGACGGTTCAAGGCCGAATGTCTCTTTGTAGGCCAGGGAAGCGACCTGGTGGGTGGGGGAGTTGGTTGTGTATGGCTCTAGTGTTGAAGCTTGTGTCGGGTCGGTTGACTGGTAAATTCTGTGACTGCTGTCACTGAGCGGGCCCTTTGAAGCAGTCACGATGAATACATGACTCAGCATATTTTGTCTTGCGGCAACATTCAATTGGGGGGGGGGGTGAGCCGGATGCGATCCTAAGAGCACCTGTGTTGAAAGCGACTTTTTTATGTTCAATGTTGCCTTTGCAGCGTTCACATCTGACCGACAGTTTTTGATATGGAGTGAATCAGAAAGAGGTTTAATTTGAAGCAGAGTATAATAAAAGGTTCTAAAAGCTGAAACGTGTACACTATCAGTGTACCGCTGCAATAAATGAACCATATTCCAAGTACCCGTTAGTACATCCCAACCTGAAACAATAATAGTACTGAATGATTGCAGCAAATGGAAAAAGAATGGCCGGTCAATGTTAAAAGAATTATACTACGTAGAGTCCTTATTTTCGTTTTTATTTAAAAAGAAAAATAATTAGCAAAAAGAACTACATGTAGTGTTATGGTCATGTTCCTCGTTTACGAGGGTCAAAAAGATGGCATCATATTTTCAGACTCCTCGTCTCGCCTTGGCTGATCGTTTGAAATGGAGATCTACTCGGATACACACATACTTATGGTTTGGTGCACTTCTTTGGTTGCTCACTGAGACCTGGAGACTACTAAGCTGTAATTTTTCAAATTTCTCTTAAATGAATTGCATTATAAGGTATCGGCCTATTGATGGTGGTGGTATGACCTGACCTACAGGGATTCAGCCCCATTTCCAAGAGTACGAGGCGAACACAAATTGTCTTGGAACTATAAAAAAAAACAAAAACTTCATTACATTTTCCGTGTGGATAACCGTTGCGCCACTCGCAGCTCAACCAAATAGCATTTGCTATATATTTATTAGCATATGTTTATGTATCAGCCCCCACTTACCCCATATATATATATATATATATATATATAAGAGAGAGAGAACGAGAGAGAAACCACCCCCAAAATGTATACAGACTTTAGGAAAGGAAAAACTCTCTCTCTCTATATATATATATATATATAGTTAAGTAACGAAAATCTTGGTAATCCGTATGGATAATCACAAGGAGGATGAAATCCGGAGAGCTCAATGTTAAGTCAGAGCGAATAATTTAATTTAAAGAAAAAAACAGACCAATTTAAGTTCCCATTGTTATAATTTATAAGTACCAGAGAAAAATAAAATCTCAGGTGAAATAAATTATAACAATGGAACCTTAAAGTGGTTTGTTTTTTCTTTAAATTAATATATATTTGTAATACTAAATTCATTCACACGCCACGAGAGTAGTACAAGTTATCTTTGGACTCTACAATCACAAGAGGTGCTCAAAATGGTGACCTTTAGCTTACAGACATTTATTAGTACGGTGAACTGCTACTTCGTCAACGTTAGCCAAAGCGTCCAGTGGGATTGCTGTACATCAATTTCAACTTCTCGTCTTAGGGCTCCCAATATAATGCCATCTGTCGAGAAAATATCCTACTACTGTAAACAATGTTATCGTAATTTGATAAAACTACGAAAGACAAGTTTGTTTTCCTTTCCTTTTTGGCGGACTCTAGATATGAGAGAAGGAAAAGATGACAGTAGTTGTGGAGGTCTATTCACTTATACACATTTTTAGTTAATGATGGCCTAAATTAATTATAAATAAATAGTAATTCTGATTAGCATTATTTTGATTTCTGCTAAATGCTTCTACAACTTTCCTCAAGCGGATGTTGTATTCGGTAGATTTCAGATTTTTGAAAACCTTCCTCAATTCATTGGCCCAATTTGAACACACTTATCTTTGTCGCTTGGATCAGTGAAAGTTTTATTTTTTGTTTTTTTTACCTAATACTTACCTTGATAAGGCCATAGAACCAACCGATCGGCACATTGCAACAAAAATAAAATTATGACATTTCCCTAGCCTACATAAACCTACTTTTGCTGTTGATAGTAAAAAGTTGCCTTGGGACTCAAGCCAATAAATTACAGAAATCTCACTGGTTTGTCGTAATAATAAGGGAATTTTCACCTTCGTGTAATCTGTCTTCTGTCACGACGTCCGCACAGTCAGCTATTATGAGAAAAAATAAACACAGAAACAGTGTCTCTTATTTATCCGGCGGTGTGACTACATTGCTCTATGTGGCATTCGCGAGCAAGACACAAAAGTTAACATAGTGGGCACTAAGCTGCAAGGAAAGAAGGCCTGTGCCTTTCAAATAACTAGCACCAACTGAACCTCCATTTTTCCGATCAACGTAACTAAACGGTTAAAGTCTGTCTATATTTCTGAGATGAGGTACATTATTTATGTAAATAATGTAGACGGTTAAATGTTCGCTAATCAATGAATCTTGGTAGCACGATAGACGTCTTTGAAGAAGTCCAGTAGTTGTTCTGGTGACATATTTCTATGTACCAAACGTTTGACCATTTTTTTCTTGCTGCCTATATTTTTTCTGGCTTCCAATCCTCCAAAAACTTTGGTTATATTTGGTTTAAAATTATTTTGGAGTTATTTTTAGATACTTATCTATGAAACGTAATCGCGTATCTCAACGTTTATTTATTTATAATTTAAAATGTCTTTTTTTTTTTTTTTTTTTTTGAAACAGAATGTAATTTCTCTAAGATAGGCCTTCGTCCACCAGAATCGGTGACCGTTTGTCGAGAAAACTGTCTTCCTGTTAATACATACATTGATCTATCAAAAATTGGAATTTGCTCGCAGGGTGTGTGCTGTCTGAATAAGATACAAACAACAGGTAAGTAATCATTATCTACAAATGTATTATAGACATTACTACATCGTGTAGTTACTAAGCTCATTTTCGTCTGGCTCAAGGCTACAAGAATTACGGCCTTTAGTAAGGATAGAACTTTTACATTTGTTTGCAAAACGATCTTCTACCACGGATTATACCGTTCACTTAGTCTGACAATAAGTCACAACTACGGAGCGCTCAGTGGGAATTGAACTCAAAACAGTCACAATAATGGACGAGATTAGATTTCTGAACGTTACTTTTATTATTGGTTGAGTCTGGTACAAGGCCATAAGAGTGAAATACCTGTGGGATGTGAACTCACGATACGATTAAATTGGTCCATGCTTATAACCATTGTGCTATGTCAAACGACACCAGGCATTTTTATTGTCTCATTTTGTTAAGTATAAAATTAAGAAATAATTGGTTAACTGAAAGGCAAATTGTTTTTGACAAGACATATGCAATTTTTATACAGAAGATAAAAAAGGAAAGTCAAGTTGGTGAATCAGAACACATTTTACTTTGGCCTTAAAAATTCATTCTTTACTCATGTTCATCTTCCTTCAGATTGTGGACGATCATGGTTCTCCACAACTTCATATTTTGTATTGTTCAAACTTATCAAGTAGATTACTCTGCTTCTTGCCTCTGATGTCCTGTCAATGTTAGATTTTCTAAGCCTTCTTTCCTCATTGTCATTATAATTTATTTTTAAAAAAATACTTCTTCTTTACAACTTCATGTCACAAGCTGTTTATTACACTCACAACATTTGTTAGTTGAATCATCTTAGTTATTTAAAGTTCTACATTTGCATACAAAAGGGTAGACATCACATCAGACAGTTATTTTTTTTTCATTCTTGTAATTTCTAAAAAAAGTATCTTTTTTAATAGCCTGATGTGCCTTCAGATTTCTGACATTTGTTGAGTTTCCACACTTATTTGATTTCGATGTCCATAATGCATGTATCTTAGGTTATCCCTTTTATTTACAGCCTAGATATTCCATCTTGCAATTAATAATTAGTCTTTTCTTCTTGCTTTCCTCAACTAAATTGTCAAATAGTTCTTTCAATTTGCCTCCTGTATTTGCCGTCCATGCCAGTTTCATTTGCACAGCAGAATTTATTAAAGATTACATTTACTCATAATAAATCATCGGAGGCCCCTCATACATTTTAAAAAAAATGTTTATATTTGATGTCTATATTGATACCAGAAAGAAAAAAAGTTCAAATTCTACACCATTGTGCAAATTAATTGAAACAACCGCTTTAGTTTCCTTTCTTTCACCATACGGTTAGTTTTAGACCCACTGCAGTGACAGGGTGTAATCGATTTCTATTTTTTATTCAGATTATGTCATTTGCAGTGGTGTGCAGTAATATGAATCAGTTTTCAGGGCGTATGATGAAATTTGTTTGGCTTTGAAAAATATTGTCATGTGTGATTGCATCAGATTTTCATCACACCCAAACACTATTGTCTCGACTGTTGATTAGTTGTCTTACAGCCAAGGAAGCGTACGAAAATTGTAATGCAGCACGAACACAATGGCAACCCTTACCAGTGAGCAAATCCAAGTACTATCAACTGTCTTGGAAACTCTCCTGATTTAAATCCAATCGAGAATCTGTGGTCAATCTGCAAGGAAAGACTTCATGGAATGGACATCTGAAGTACTAACATGTGCACTGGGTCATGTTGCATTGGAAAAAAAAAAAAAGTAGTAAATAATAATTCGTTTTAGTTATTCGTTTTGTTTCAATTAATTTGCACAAGGGTGTAGATGCCAATTTGTAGAGAATTTTTGTCAGTTCCAGCACCTGATCTTTAAATGAACTTTTCTCTGCTTCCCTGAAAATTTCAATTTAGAACTCATTTAGTTTTAAAGTGATAAAGCAAAATGTTCTGCTCATAAATTCTTTTCAAATTCTACTCTTGACTCATTTGGAGTATCTTTGCCTTTCCACATAGGACTATATCTACTGAGTGATATGCATATAACTCCATCCATGGTTTCTGCTATCATCTTTAAATTGCATCCTCACAAAGCATGCAGACTTGATGGCATCCCTATAATAGTCCTTAAAAAATGTGCTGTTCTCTCCCAAGTCTACAATAAATGCTTTGCTGCTTCTTGCTTTCCTGCTTGTTGGAAGTCCTCTTCTGTAGTTCCAGGCTCTAAGATCTCAGGCAGACAGCCTGATTCTAATATCAGGCCTATTAGCCTTCTACCTCTTTTTGGCAAAGCAGTAGAGAGACTAATTCTGGTTAAGCATCTCACCTTGCAGGCTCTTCTTTCAGGCAAGCAATATGACTTTTGCTTCTCTAGATTGACTGCCGATAAGTTAACAATTAATGCTGAAAGAGTCTATCAAGCTTTAGATAACAATGGCGAAGCTCAGGCTGTTGCTTTGGGTATCTTGAAAGCATTTTACAGAGTTTGGCATGCTATTCTTCTTTACAATTTCATAGTTTACAGTATTTCTGAAATTTTTTTGATCTTATCAAATCGTGAAAGTTTGGTATTTATGTCTTAATAGTAAGTCCGATAGGTTTGATAAGATCAAATTGGCAGCTGATCTATAAAAGAAAAAAGAACCCTACAACTTGTTAAATGGGGCAAGGATTGGCTTGTATAATTTTAATGCCTTCAAAACAAAAATGCTCTTTTAATCATCTGAGATAACCCTTTTTGGCTTCCATCAGTATGGCTGATGCTAAAATCCAGGAGAAGGAATCATTGCACCTTCTCAGATTAAGAGATCAGCAAAATATCTTTCAGCAATGATTTTTTTTTTCTTTTCAACATTGACTAAACACTCAACTCACAATAGTGAGAGGAAAAAAATCCTAATCAAATGAATAGATTTAAATTTTACTTATTTAGTGAAGTTTATTTTTCTTTATCTTTCAGAGAAATGTGCAGGGACCAAGGGCAGTTGACAAAGATTAAATAATTTTGAACAGATTTACCTAATAAAAACTGCACAATGAAAATGCAGTGTTTTTGTTTATTATTATTTAAAAAAAAAAAAAAAAAAAAAATGTCCCAAATGCTTAATAATACTTGTAAAATCAAAATTGTGTCTGTCATAATCAGGAGATCAAGAGTGTGTGCTGATATTAAAATATCTGATAATTTCCCAGGCTCTGAATAAATATTTAAATTTAGAACCATTAACATTTTAGTGATATTAGATTGGTTACAGTAAAAGACATTTATTTTAACTGAAAAACACAACTGCTTTGTAATTGTCAAAGAGAAGACTTAATACCCGGTTAAGTTTGAGCATCTCTCTGTAATATGACAAGTCATTAGCATTGTGAAATTGATTTATACAAAATGTCCCAAACTATAAGTACCATGCTACCTAATCAGGACATGGGGAATTAGTCTCTCTATAAATTCTTTTTCTTTAATATTTGGCACGATTATTTCCTGGGTATGTAGATTACAAAGATGGGAAAAGCAACAGGGAGAAACTACGCTATGATTTTGAATTTAGTTAGACTGGATGCCAACCAAATCAACAGTGGTATAAACTGTGCTGCTGTTATAAACCAGAAATTGTACAAAGAGAAGAAATGAAATAGATAAATAAACCCCCAACCCCCATCAGCTTCGTTGTCTTAAAATATTCAGATGCTTTAGCAACCAGAGACAACAAACACCTAAGGCTAAAATATTAAAAATATTTCATCTTAAAACTTTAACCTTCCCTGAAATTCTATCTAGTTTGACATCTTTAACTCTTGATTCCACTTAGAACAATTTTATTTTTTATATTAAGGGGTTTATAAAACTTTGTAAGTATTACTGATTAGTTCCAATGTATTTAAAAAAAGGGGTTTTCCCCTATTTGTTTTTCTCAAATGGAAAAAAAAAAATAATTAAAAAATAGATAATGACTATATTACAAAAATATTTCCTCAAGCTCAGTTTCAAAGCCATGATCCTTTTTTTTCTCATCCTGAAAGAAAAATTCCAAGAGAATTGTCACTTGAATTCTATATTTGAACATTTCTATTTATTCAGTTAAATAACTAGCTAGTAACAGAATGAATTGTATACAAGGTGATAATAAACAGGTGGTGGTAGTGGTGGAGTCATTAATAACTGATCTCAGCCCCAGTCTATTGTACAATTGTCTCAAGATGTCGCATCATAAAAATTCTGTGTATAATATATATAAATAATAAAAAAAAAAAAAAAGCAGCAGCAAATTCTTGCTTAAGAAGGCAACAGGGTTTGAAAACACAGCAAAGTTTAATGGTCAAGGAGAAAAATAAATGTCTTTATATTTACAAACATCTTAAATAGTTATTTTTCTTTAAAGGGCAGAAATTATTATTTTATAATTAAATAAGAGAAAAACCAATTGCATTTCTAGATCTCAAAATATCAATATTTTCAAAATCCTTTTAAGGTGGTCTGGAGAAAATTTGTTTCAAAATATGCATTGTTATAAGCTTCAGTACTTAAACATTTTTTTTTTTTTTTAAATCATTAAAAAGAATTTTGTCCATTTCCTTTCTCCCATCTGGATTCAAAATTCACTTAGAGTAATTTTGTCAATTTTTCTTCTTCCTTAAAAAAAGAAAAAAAAAAAAGAAAAAAAAAAGTACCTTGACAATGAGTATGAAAGAAAAAAGTTAATTTCTTTACAAAATAATACATAAATGTTGTTGACTTTTATACATTTTGGTACTTTTGGCTGTAAAAAAAAAAAAAAAAAAAAAAAAATAAGTGGGGAAGGAAGAGGAGAGGAAGCAAAGAATTTAATTTGAATAAGGAAATTTTATTTACTTACTTATTTATAATCATTTCAAATGTCTTGTTCTGAGGTTTTTTTTTTTGGTTTTTTTTTAAAGTTGGGAGGGGGGGAGAGTTTCTGTTAACATCTGTCATGAGAGTACGCATAGATCCATACCTTGGGCAAGACCAACTGTAAACAAAATGATGGTGGTAAGAGGGAGAAGAGAAGATGTCTCCTTTATTTCTGTAAAGTTGGGAATTTTATGTCAAATTCCCACAAGTTGTTTTATTTTTTATTTTTGTCTGGTTGGAGACCATGTGATTTGCCTTCAATCCATTCAGAGGAGAGAATGGCCATTAATGCTGATTTCAGAATGTAAAAATGAAGGCTGAGTGGGGAGATAACAAGAAATGGCAAGAGGAAGAGGGGACGCACAGCAAGAGAAATCAAAGGTAGACCGGTGGTGGTGGTGGTGGAAGGTGAGAAAGAAAGGAGTGACGAGCATAATTGTAAAATCTGCAGACTTGGCAAGGGCAGCCATGCAAGGAAGATTATTTATTAATTAAAAAGGTAGAAGAGGAGAAAGAAAGAGCTGCAAGGCAACTGATTACATAGATCTCAACCTTTTCCATTGTGGCTGACTGTATTTACAAAATTACAGCAGAGACGAAAGGGAATAAGAACAGACAAAAAAAGAAAGTGGGAAGAGCAGCAAATTGGAAATGATGATGCAAAGAAAATGAACAAGACTTAAACATAGAAGGAAAGGAGGGGGGGGACAAAATAATAACAAAAAAAAACCCAAAATGACCACTAACCCAATTGTATAAAAAGAACTGAGCAGCAGCAGCAGGAGTGGTGGTGATTTGAATCAAATGACAGGTAAGTGGTCAAGTAAAGAGAGAGACATTGCTCATCAAGAGAAAAATTAGGCTAAAAGAAAACAAAAAAAAAAAAAAAAAAAAAAACAACAATGTGTGTATAAATGTTTACTTTTTTTTTTTTTTCCTCTCTTTCTTCATCTTTTCTAGACAATTTCATTGAGCAAGGTTTTGGCTTAGTGGACCTGGATACCAGGTTCTGGGCTTGAACTGTTGCTTCCTTTTCCTCCTGAACATTCTCAATAATGAGAGGGTGAGTGTGTCTATGTATTGTCTGAGGTTGGCATGAAACGCCTTGCTGTCTTCTCTTACCCCCTCTCCCGCCCTGCCCAACATGAGAAAGTGGGGGTAGACACTGGCCAAACATACATACGCACACACAAATATGCGCAAGAGCACACACACACACACACACACACATGCACACAGTGGTTTCCATAGCAGCAGCCAACAAGTTAGTGTCAGCTTTTGTTTTTGGAGGCATTCTTTTCGTCCATTTCTTTTTTCAGATTCCAGATCAATTCCTGGATCTCCTGCCTCTTTGAGTTCACATGTTCTTCGGAGAACCAGTTTTGTTTTCGAATCGGAATGGTAAAATCTTTTATTGGATTCTGAAAAATCAAATAAAAAGAAACGTTTAATAATGTTTGTAATTGATTTCGTTAATGAAAACAATTATTTACAATGAATGGGTGGTGTAGAGGGGGGGACTTGGAAGAGTTAGTAAGCTTCATTATCAAGAGTGATATGAAGAACTTATGTTATTTCAAATAATATTTGCAATTAAGAGTAAAATCTACAGACTCAGCTGAATGGTTGCAGTTGGGCTGAAGCTATGGCATGATCCCATCAGCTGGTAAATATATATATTTTTTCAATGAAGTCAATTCAAAGCAATATTAGACAATATTTAGGAGAGGACTAATTACAGAATGGCAGGTGAAGGTGACAGTTGGGAATCAACTGCAGGTTTTCATTTCATTAGCCATTGTAGAATAACAAACAGCCCTTAAAATCAACAAGAAAATTATATTTTCAGTGTTTTTTTTATTTTTTATTTCAATTCTGTTTGAACCACACAACATTCAGAAAACACTTCTCCATTGCTTGACAACTCTTGACTTTAATGAAACAACAACATAAATTAATTTAGTTTAATTAAGAATTATAACACAATAGTCTTAAAAGTTATAACATTTTCAAAGTGATAAAATCTTTTTTGACTTAAGACAAAATCTTGCCATTGGGATTTAACAGTAATAAGAAAATTAGCAAGAAACTTTTAAATAAAAGTTAATCATTAAATTTAAAGGAAGGTAGGGAGTGAGATTTAACTGATCTTGAGGAGTTAAAAGCATTTATAGTGGATCTAAAATGTCAAATCCCTTTTTGTTCAAGCCTACAGTAATTATTTTTAATTTTTAGGGGTGGGGTTCATTGACAGCATGCGTTTCATTTACCAACTGCAGGAAATATTCCTATTCAGACATTATTTTGAGATACAACTGATGTGTTCATTATTCACAAGACTATATTTTATATATTAAACATTTTAAATGTTCTCACTGGAAAGCAGCCACTTTCCATTATTTTTCATAATTTAATGATTGATAAATATTATTATTGACCAGGTTTGTTTCTTTATTTCTCAAAGATGCTGCAATTGATTTAAAAAAAAAAAAAAATAAATAAAAAAAATTAATGTACAGATTGAAAACTATTCTGGGCAAAGTTCACAAATTACTGAAGATTTTCATATTTATACATTGAAGATACTTTGATGAAATAATTCTTCTTGAAGGTTTTATAATAATTCCCAAATTGCTGGTAAAATAATCTTACATCTTCAGTACTTAGTTTTCTTGTAAATGAAGACATAACAGAACAGGGATGAAATACATAAAGCTGTTTTGAAATGTTAAAACATATACCTACTGATTCTCTAAAAGAAAGACTCTTTAGTTATTAAGAAACAAATTACAAATGAAAAGAATTAAAAATCAAGTGTGGGGGGGGGGGGGAGAGAAAAAAAAGAAAGAAAAAGGATTACCTTGAAAAAACTTTCCACATATTGCAGCACGTAGACCCCACAATCACTGTAGTTATTCTGTTGGGGTACTTTTGGTACTCCACCTTTAATGAAGTCCTTGTCAAACACTCGTTTAGGGGTCTTCTTTCGTGTATCCCATTCAACTTGTAAATACCTAGATGAAAGACAGTAGTTAATAAACAAATTTGTATAGGAAAGGCTCATTTTGGCCCAATAACATCTGTCTGGTTCATGCAGCATAAATCTGTTGCATAGCCCTCTCATTCTGGGGGAGGTCTTGGGTGACTGTGTCGATAATAAAATTGCATTCTTCTCTCTCGATCAGTTGTTTTGAGTTCAGAGATAAAGAAGATAAAAACTCGGCAGTTAGCATTAAGAAATATTCATTTTCACTTCAAAATAATTTCATTCAAAGGTCTTCCCTTTCTTAACTTGGTGTGAACATCATTGAATAAAAGGAACGGCTAAATGGCCCAGCGATCGGAAATACTAAAGACATGTGGCAAAAAAAAAACAAAACAAAAACAATAACAATAACAACAATGTCCTCTGCTAAGTGTTGTTGTCACCACCCGGGTCATGGGGTGTTAAAAACAAAACACATCAAGCCATTGTTCAAACATAGGTTATATCAAGCCCTACTAAGGCTGGCCCCCTGCTTTTTTTTTTTTTTTTTTCACTCTTTGCTCTTATCTGGGAGTGGTGGGTTTTATTACAAGCTGACGACAACTTGTTCTAAACGTTTATGGCTGGCTGACTTTTGAACCAGAGATTTGGCTTAATTTTTTTGAAACAAACAAACAGACAGACAGACGTCGACGCTTTCTGGTGGTCAGGAATTGCAGATAAATCTTTCACCTTTTACTAAAGATTTCCGTAGCCGGGTGTCAATTTTTTTTTAACCCCTGGCAGTCATGTAATTGAAAATTACCAATGGACTTTGTCGCATTTTGACACCCAAGGAATGTTGATTTCTTTCAAAACTCAATTTTATGCATGAAATAGTTTGATTATGTTTTAGGCTTTCTGATTTTCCAAAAAAATGGTTAATTTCCCATTAATGGGGAAAAAGTTTAAGAACTAGGAAAAATGCAAAATGTTCACTATTTTTTCACATTTTACCCCCCGGAAAAAATTTTTTGAGTCATTTATACCAGCCAATTTTACTTTTAAATGAAAGAATAGATCCTTTGCTTTCAGAAAACATCTAGTTTCATGGGGTTCAGACCAAATGTTTCCTTGATATTTGTTTAGATGATGATAAAACGGTCATTTTTCAATATTTTACCCCTATAAAAGTATTAAAATCCATTTCTTCAGAGAAAATAAGCTATGAGAAAATGACTTGCCATTTTTGTGAAGATTTTTACTTAGGATAGAAAATTCTTACCATAAACCTGAATTGACTTTATTTAAGTTCAGTGGGGCTATAGGAAACCTCAAACAGCTGTGTGAGAGAAGTACACACACACACACACACACACACACACAGGAATCTCAAAACTGAACCTGAACTGCTAAAGAAAAACATTTTTTTGCCAAAATAATATAAAATCATAGCAAAACAGAAGAACTGAGAATAAAATAGAGTTAAAATACTTACTCTCTTAAAGTTTTCACCACATTTGTCCGAGATGGACCAGCCAATGAATCAAAGATTAAAATACAGGGTCTGTAAGAGGAGAAATTTTAGACGAACAATTATCAGACACCATTTGTTGTAACAAAAAATTAAAATCTCTAAATTTAATCTAAATTAGACAATTTATATTTGATTCTGCAAAATTTCAAAGAGATTTGATAAGTGTTAAAATCAGAAATTATTCAATTGATGATGTTGCTAAAGAAACATCAAACTGAGGCAAAGAGGGGAAAAAAGAAAGCAAGTTGAAAGGTTACAGTGTTTCTGGACATATTTTTGATTTGATTCAATCTTTTTTATCAAATCACAAAATTACAGTTGTCTTGAATGGCTACTCTTCTAGATCTTTTTACATTAATGCAGGTGTCTTCCAAAGCTCTATCTTTGGACCTACTTTGTTCATAATTTTCATCAACAACCTTCCCAATTTCATCAGTTCTTGACTTGATATCTGTGCTGATAATGGTTTGATGAGGTCAAATTGGTAGCCAAGAATGACCTTCAAGCTGTTGTTAGTAGGGGCAAGAAATGGCTCAATTTTAATGCCTCCAAAACAAAACAAGCTCTTTTAATTGTCCTTTTTTTGCCCTCCATCAATATGGCTGATGCTAACCCCCAGGAGGATAAATCATTGCATCTTTTCAGTCTAAAGTTTTCCACTAATATGAAGTAGAAAGATTACATCAAGTTAATTACTAGGTCTGTTACTATGAAAGTGAGGTCACTGTGTCAATCTTTCTAGCTAGAAACTTTGTAAGTCTATAATTAGTCCATCTTTACCATTTGTCCCTGCATTGAATATTGCAGTCACATCTGGTTTGGTGCTTTTATTATGTATCTTCAGATTCTTGATAAAATCCAAAGAAAAATCAGCAATGCTATCAGTCCTGACATCTCAGCTTCAGTCACTATCCCACCACCATAATGTAGCTTCCCTGTATCTTTTTATATTTCCTTGGTAATAGTTCAACTTTACAAATTTAAGCACAGTACTAGATTGGCAGTTAGGTCTCATAATTTCACTGTTGAAATTGTTAGATGTAAAGTTCTAGGTTAATAGTTTCTTCTCATAATTCTTGCTTGTGGATCTTTCTTCTGTCTTCTTGCTTTCTAGTCAACTTTGATCTTCAAAAATTTAAATGCAATATCAATCATCATCTGTCTTTAATTCTGTTATTTTATTGTCCTCTCTGTTTCTTTCCATTTTAGTAACTCCTTGTGTCTTAGTGGCTTTATCAACTTGCTTGGAAAAACAGTCAAGTTTATTTTCTAATTTGGACAGAGCAATTTGAGAAAACATGAATCAAGTTGTAACTGACTGGTTTAGATATCATTAGTAGACACAGCTTAGATACAAGGTCTAGATAAAAATTCTTTTATCACTGCAACAACACAAACAACAAAAATCCATTTTACTTTATTAATCTGTTCTAAACTGTTCTTAATTATTTGAAAGACTAAAGTATCAGAACTTTGCAAGATGTGCAAACACTGTGGTGACTGAATTGTAAAGAAGACTAAAAACAAAAAAAAGATCTGATATAATTCTACTCACTGCCTGAATCCGTAAATCTCTGTATAGGCATCCTTTCGTAATTCACTAATTTTAATTTGGGTCTGAAAGAAAAGACAACAATAAACAAAAATAATATAAAGCAAGCATTTCAACATAAAATCTACTGAGATTATTTTCAGGGTTAAATGGAAATTCAGATCAGAATGGAAAGGAGTAAACATTTTTGTTTTAATAAAATAATAGTTATCTGCTATCTTCTTGTTTAGCATATATGTGTGTGTGTGTGTGCATACACCCCCCCATCAACATTAATTTATCTTACAATACTGGTTACAGTAAAAGAAATTATATTTAAACCAAATTACACTTTCACCTAAACAATATTCAAAGATCAATTCTCACATACACTGAGGTACCAGTTTCTTCATTTTAAATAAATTCACGTTTTGATTGGACATGACAAATCAATTGATTCTCTGCCATCTTTGTTTATAATATAAAAAATGCAATTATACAACCTGATTTTCCCATCTTAATGAAATATTCCAATGTTAAGGCAACAGGATGTATTACTTGATGTCAATAAAGAAATATTAGTAAATAAGAGAGAACTGGCAGCTAATACATAGTTTGTTTTTTTCTTCTTTTTGTTCTATTGGAAATTTTTATTTTAAAGAATTAAAAAGCAGAATTCTTTCTTACATGTGACAATACAGTTAATTGTATTGATAAAAATCCTAGATTACTGAAGTAGAAAATGTAAACCAATGGAACTACTTAGACAGCAGCATCAAAAGTTGACTGTGTACAGGTAAAGGAATTTTAAAATAAATCTGACAGGAAGACAAGTGTTTAAAGAAGATGTAAACAGGTGTGGCTAGAAATTAAAGATCAATGAAAATATGGACAAAAACGGTTTTATTTCATTAACTTCTTAATTCAATTGTTATTGTTATATTGGACCAAGAGTCTCTAAAGTGGTCAGCATCAACTTCTCAAGGGGATTTATGGTACTACTCAGGGGATCCTTTTAAAAGAGAGTTGATAAATTGTGGTGACTTACAGCCAAAACTCTCCAATTTCATACCAAATACCAATGCCCTTGCTGCTGCTCATCAAAACACATCCTTCTCATTAATGATATCAACAAATTCAATAAAAAAAGTATATCATTTATCTATTACATTTTTATTATATTATTTGAATGAACAAATCTAGTATAGGAAGAAAAAGAACAAAGCTAAAATTAATCTTATCAAGGAAAAATAAAGTGATAATCCGTAAAAAAATTGATTTGTTTTCTTTTTGTATATGCCTGGGGGCTGACGAAGGATTGAGGATTCTATGAAAGGGTCAATAGTCTAGAAAATCTATGGAGCACATAATCTCAGCCTTAAGGTAAATGTCAAGGTGTTTTTATAAGATTTTGCTTAGTAATGCCCTGTCACACAGACTGACAGGAAACGGGAATAGATGAACAAATTGGTTCATTTCATAGTTCCATCTCTACAGGTGATATCCAGATAGTAATATCTCAAATAATACGAACCTTTCGAATTTCAGGAGTGGCATTCTTTGTAGTCTGGGGAGAGAAGGGAAAAATAAAACTAAGTTAATCACAGAGAAAAGAGGAGGTACTATAAAAAGCAAAAAGAAACCGTGTTGTGTGTTTATATATATATATATATATATATATATATATATATATGAAACATACTCCAGTTTCACATTATGGTTGCTGTGTTCTAGCTAGCTTTATTATCATCAAATATTTTATATATAGTTTGGATCCACTGAGAATATTTACCATCACAAAACGACACTGAACAACATCAAATACAGAAACTGTACAACGCTTTCAAAGTATGTTTGGCCATTAAAAAGCAATCATAAGAACCTATTCATTAACTGGGAGATAGTTGCAAAATCTAAGCCATACAATGGAAAGGGAGACAGATGTAACTTATGTTTGTTGGAAAAGCTTATTATATGAAAGCACTTAAATAATCTTAACTTGCTGAACACGAGGTCCAAATTAATGTCTACATCATGAACAAATCAAAGTACCTGCTCAAAAACATTGACCCCAATTAAAAGTGATTGCGTAATGGATTTTACGAATATTAACATGATACACAACAACTTTTAATACTCTCAGAACTCTTTACCTATAACTTTCCTTATATACCTATACACACATACAATATTACTGTACTTGATTAATTTATAACACGTGTAAATATAATTTCACCATTATAAGTATATTAGATATATAGCCCCAACCTATTATTTATGTATTTATTTACATATCTATTTAATTTTTATTAAACTATTTATTATTTTTGAACCTTTATATTTTGAATCTGTTTATAGTTTATGTTAAATATATCTCCTGACCCCCCCCCGTTACCCAATTAATAGATTGTTTATGTCTCAAAACCAAATTCAAATTTAAAATAATTTTATTTTTTATTATTCTTCTATCTCCAACATTTGAACTTATAAATTTGAATGATATAAATTATTATTAGTTAATTCTATATTTTAAAAAGATAAGTTTGTAAACCCAATTTTGAATCACCATCAACAGAATGTGACAGATAATGTTCAGAATCCACACCCGTAGATTGTATGAACTGCATGAAACTGAGTAGTGTTATCAACATTAGATATTATGTGTAATCACTAATATATACTTATAGCTATGTTTCATAACATTCAGCAGTATATTTATAACACCTTAGGAATAAATATACTTATGTAGGGTTGTCCCAGGTAACGCTAAAAAAAATTATACTCGGGAGAAAAAAGGTCCCCAAATTGATAAAAAAAAAAAAACGTAAATGATTATGTTAAAATTAAAGAGGAAGACCAAAGGTATTTTTTAATTATTTTTAAAATTTTTTTTTTTTCATGCAGCATTTTTTAAATTTAGTTTGAAAACCTTTTTTTTTTTTTAGGTCAAAATTAGGTTAAATTAGCATTATTTTTGTTTTCACTATTTTCAGTTGGAAAATACACATTGATTTGGAAAATCTTGCAAAAAATCAAGTACTTGTTGGATTTTTTTATGAAACTTTCAGAACTTATTCACAAATGAATGAAATTATTTTAGAAATGTTTGTCTTTTTAACCAAAGTCATAGTATAAATATTTTTTTTATATATGTTACACCCCCCCAACTTAATTTTATGAAAACTTCAAAAATTTATTTTTTGCATCTGGATTTTTTTTTTTTATTAAATGCACAAGACTCTGAAGATTCTAAATCATCGATTTTTTTGTAAAAAAAAAGCGGAATTGTCCAAACTTTTACCTCAATTGTAAACATACAAAACCCAATAAAACTAAGACAATATTTAATTAAAAAAAAGCTTTTATGACTTTTCTGAATAACATATACTAAGGTAATTCTTACCTGAAAAAAAAAAAAAAAAAAATTTGAAGAAAAATGAATTTTTACAATAATTTTTTTTTTTTTTTTTTTTTAAATACAAAAATGACAAAATTCACAAAATATTAAAATATATTTTAAAATTATTGTTTTTCTTTCTGCATAGTCATGGAATTGACATATTTTTATTCTCTACGTTTTGAAGATCATAAATTTGAAAGCTTATTAAAATCTGACAACCGGTGATATTTTTAAAATAATTTTTTAATATTCCAAAATTGTATTTAATATCGTCTCCAACGAAAGTACGGATGCACAGCTTTGAAATAACGTCAAATGAGGTAGAGTTGTTTTTTTATTGATAGAAGTAAGTTCTTTTTAACTTTAGAAATTACTTCGCATTCTTTCTGT